AAAACGGTGAAAGAAAGAAAGCTGTTAGGAAAGATCGATCCAAATATCGCTCCACAAAGGGAAGGGACTCGTGGATTCATTGGACAGATGAACACAAGGGCTGCTCCACAGACAGCAAGACGGAGTAACAAATCGTTCTGAAACAGAACGTGGTCTACCCCAGTATCCATGACCGGTTGTCATGGACAGAGAAGGTGAGTCCCGCAGCAGGTCGAGAAGATTCTCCGGGATGAACGTGGACTTCGTCGCAATTTAGGCGCGTCAAAATCGTGACAAGATTCACACATCCGTTTCAAAGCAAACCAGAAATACAATAAGGAACGTCGCCAACGACTTATCCAGAAAAAACACCGATAAGGAGAACACGACACGTTTCCCATCAAACACATGTCAACGATACTATGATTATTCATCATTATCAGAACCGTTAGTACGGTCAGCCAAAGGTCCTTTCCACACAGACCGAGTCAACTAAAATGGCACTGTACGGCTCCGACATACACCCGCCATAGCGCAACAGTCACCAGACTTGAAATAGGGTATTTACACCCATACAAGGCCTGATCCCCTTGTAGGATGATGCGTGCGACTGTGCACATGTTACATCCAATCTCCGAAGAGTGCCCGCACTTTAATTGCATATTTTTCTCTTGTCCGACTGATGTCGTGCCTCTCTCGGACCCTTGTCCAGGGGGCGAATGCAATACACGGCTCTAGCCTTATTCGCAGCTCGATCTAGATAGGGTTTGAGGTTAACTCATGACTGGAGTTCTCGTGAATAGCATTGAGACAGGGTTCTCATAACCGCTTATGTCATACTAGGTTGATATGAAAGATGCTCTAGATATTTAGGCAGCGTGGAGTACTTCCACGCTACTAGATAATGCTAGACGAATCTTCCACGCGTTCCGTTTTGGATCGTGGAGTGAGTAGGATTGCACCGCAACCTACTCTATCAACTCTACAAGTCTCCCGCGGGAGTTCAGATCTACGATCCTTTGTTGTGGATCTCTTCGTTGATTAGTTTTCATAGCTTTCTCATCCTCTCATAACTTTCATTTTCATTCTCTCAAACTCAAAACACTCGAAAGATCTTTACACTAGCTTTTAGCGTAGTGCAAAAACAATAAATCCTTGTTTCCTTATGAGTAAACAAGATGTAACTGTTTCCTCATGAGTAAACAAGGATTTAACTATTTAATCATGAGTAAATAAGGTTGGAAGTATTAATAAACCAATGACTGTTCGTAAACCATTTTTAAAACCATTTGTCCATTTTCCGGGTCGCCCTGCGGGTCATCCAATGTTTACCACTGCCTCCGGTACCAGGTATCACTTCTTTATCACACTGCTACCGATGGTACCACTGTCTTCAGCGCTGTTTATCCCGACAGTAGCTGAGGACCATTCTTAACACAGCTTTTTGAAGCTTTTCAAACCTTCGCACCTTCGCCGTGATATCAGCTCGGACACCAACCATGATTGGGGAAAGAAGAAAAACCTTCGCCACTGCTCTGCCTACAATCTGTATAGACTGACGAAGATTTTTCTTCTTTTCCTATGATTGCTTGGTGTCCCTTATGTATCATACGATTTTAGCAAAGAGTGACTGGATTAAGTAAATTTTACTGAAACAGGTCACCAACTGCCAAATCGCTAAAACACAGGCTTTCAGCCTCTGTGGTAACTTTTCGGTTTTGGCGTGACTCTTTCATCTCCTCCGTGAGACTCATCAGTGCTGGGCTAAATTATATGTACTTGTGAAACTTTGGATTGTGTCGGCAGGCGCCGTAGATTTCGTTGCGTGTGTTGATCATTGTTTCTGGTGATTCTCGAGAACGTCGAAGTATTTCAAGTCTTTCCTTATTGCAAAGTTGGCAGTGTCGGGTCCGGAAGGTTTTGACACAGCTGATGGGGTTGCCTTGCCATAGAACGCTCACTTCGACGCTGTTCCGCAGGAGCTCTTTGTTTACCGGTTTCATTCTTTTGAATTGGTCGGCGAAGTGTCTTGCGAATGAGTCCGATTTTTGGTCGTTGTCCATGAGGTTTATGACGTCTTTGAAGTGTTCGTTGGTTCGAAGTTTGACATTACGTTGGGTTGTGCCAATGTATTCCATGCCGTTGTTTGTGCATTTGATACAGTATAGTACCACCTTGTTTCTGCAGACGTTGCCGAATAGACATTCGCCGTTCTTACCCTTCTTACGGAGTTGGCAGTTGCATGATTCGTTGCGGAAGTCCCTCGAGACGATGTCCCTTGTAAGCTTCCTTGAGAGGTCTTCTTGGAACGTTTCTCGGAGATTGGTGAATCGGTGGTATGACATCGATGTCCTAATCCACCCTAGATTGTGAGCTTTCTTGAGATCGTTGATTACTTTGTGAATGGGGGTTGTCCACGCTGTGGAGTGCCCGATGCAAAAGAACAGTGATCTCTTTCGGTCCCTCTCTCGTTGTTGGGCTTTTCGGTTAGTTACGGTGTCTTTGTTTTGTTGCCATTCGGACATGCGTTGTTTTTCTTCTTTGAGCATTGGAATTTGGTAGGACACAAGGCCAGCTTTGCGTAGTGCCTCGAAGTGCTTGGGGTATATGGCATCGAGGCGTTGGTTTGCATTTTCTTCATTTACTGTTGTTAATTTGGCAAGTCTCTGGTACACACCTAGTGGGATGTTTCTGAGGCATGCATTTGTGTGGGTTGTCCCTCGGTTGAGATATTTTAGTTGTTGGTTCGGTTTCATGTGGACGCGAAGTTTAGTTCTTCTGTGTCTGACCAGAACAATTCTATATCTAGGTAGGGGAAGGCTAATCCCGTTTCGACAGTAACTTTGGGGTCGGATTCTGTGTTTGGTATTTCTCTTCTACTTTGGTCTAGCCATATGCTACAGGTGAATACTAGATAGTCACCTTCAGCTAGTTGATTGACTTTCGATTGGAATTTGGTCCTCCAATCGGCTATCATTTCATACGTCCATGTTCCTTTGAATATTGCAAATCCGTCATCTCTATAGAGACCATAGTATGATGTATCTTCAAAGTGGTCTTCGGTGTTAGCTAGAATGTAAGCACCTACTAGATCTGATAGCCATGCTGATTCATATCCGCCTATAGTTAGGCCTTTCTCTTCGGGGTCCATGTCACCGTCATATTCATAGTATTTGTCTTTGAATGTAAGTAGAGTTGAGTTCATACCAAACTTGATTAGATCTAGGCAATTGTTGATAGTTTGTTGGCTTTCCTCATCGAGGTGTGCTGTGAAGTATTTGACAGCTTTCCTCACTAGTTTTAATCGAACCGATGGGTAGTAGGCTTCGGCGTCTATTGAAACTATGGTTGAGTTGCTGTTGGTAATGCCTAGATTTTCTACGTGAGCTTTGAGGTCGGAGGCCTGGATGATGTTTTTGCTCGTGTAGTTTATTTTATTGTTGTCTAGTATCCTTTTGATTCCTAGGTATCCAAGTTTGGGGAATGCCGATGTAAAGTTGTTGGCTGGCACAACAAGTCTGGTTGGGAAGATTCCATCTTTGTTGGGTTTCTTGTGATCCTTGATCATTAGTTTGGGGGATGGAATTGCACATGATTTTATCTGTTGTAGAGCGAATGCACTTTCCTTCTTGGAGAGGTAATTCTTCTTCGATTTGAGCAGTTGTACTGCTATTTCCGATACTTCAGTGAGTTTGTCATGTTGAATCTCTATTGCACTTTTATTAAGGTGCTGGAGGACTTGTTGTGTGTATGTTTCGGTTTCCATTATTCGGTAGGAGTTTGTTTTGTCCGTTGGAATGACGACAGTGTTGGGGTTGCGTCTCAGTTTCCTTTGTAGATTTTTAATGGCATTGGATATTGGGTTGGATCGGTCTTCTTTGTAGTTGACTGCCATGTCCATAATTTCCTTTTCCACTTGTTTGAGGTAGGTCTCTACTTCAATTGACGCTGTTGGTGCTGTCATGTTGATTTTCTGGGGTCTGAGGCCGGTCTTCAATCCTTCATTGTTGTCATTCGGTTGCTCGTTGTATGTTTCTAGTTCTTCTTCCATTTCTTCTGGTGGGATTTCGGCTTGTCCCCATCGTTTTCTCAGTTTTGCAATTCTCTTCTTTTGTTGTTCTCTGTGATAATCTTTCCATCTCACAGCATCTTTGTATCTACGGATGCCATCAATAGCATCGGTGATTACATCATCTTTGCTTGGTTGTGGCACGAATTTCTCGCTTGTTTCACCTACTAAGCATTGTACCTCTTCTTCAAAGGTGAGATTCCCATGAGTGAGGTCGTTGTGGCTGTTCGCTTTGGTAGTAGTAACATTAGTTGTGCCCTGCTTGATCTGATTCGTATCCCTCAAAGTTGAAAGGACAGCCATTGTTTCTTCTTGCTGCTCTAGAGCTAGAAGAAGGCTGGTGATTTCGCTGCAGCGATATCACGTACTGATGGATCTGAGTGCTTGTGTCATACGATTTTAGCAAAGAGTGACTGGATTAAGTAAATTTTACTGAAACAGGTCACCAACTGCCAAATCGCTAAAACACAGGCTTTCAGCCCCTTTTCCTCTGTCTTTGAAACTGAATTTATTATCCAGCAGAGCTGTTTCCAACCGAGGCAACAAGAAACAAGAAAGCAGCATCGAGACCTGGACATCCACAATGGTTTGTGGCGGCAACGCGGCAACCAAAACATCCAAACCATGATGATCCACCAAGTCTCTGCCGCCTTGACCAGACGCTGTTGTCATCGTGCCAATGTAATCCGCTGTTTTTCGGCTATTGACAAGGTTGCTGAGAATAAGATTGCCGAATGGCTGCATCAACGAGGCGATAAAATGCTGGAACACGGGAAAAAGCTCCCCTCGGACATCCACAAGGCACCCGCGTATTCCCTTGGATTGCGAGACGATTACGTGCACACCAAGATTCTAGCCGACAACAACATACGACCCGAGAGTGTTCAGCGACGAATCGACTTGGATCAAGCTTGGAAGGAAACCAGTGACAAGATACGTGCGAGCTTTGAGAAGAGCGGCCAGAGTGTGGCGGAATTCATCAGAGCTTCAACCACGAAGAAAGAGTTTCAGCAAGACATGGACAAGTTGCATCACATGGCAAAGAGAGTCAACGATGCCATTATAGACGATTCGTTGCGCTTCAACGGACGGTCACCAGTGCCTCATGCTCGACGCTTTCATTTTGAGGAACGGATCAAGGAAGCTATTGAGAACAACCAATAGGCTATACAAGCCAGCCAACAACAAATCGCAGCAGCAAGTCTCAAAAATTCTTCTATCTTTATTCAAAGTATGCTGTCTCATCGAAGGTTCGCTGTCCGGTTCCTACTCATCTTGGTACGGTACTCCCCCTCGCTAGCTGCCTGGCGTAGATCCTAGCTACCGGAGCAGATAGTCTGCGGGGCGGTGAAGCTTCAGACCTTTGGCACAGAGTTTCCATGGCATCTTGTATCCGTGGCAGTGTCTTTTCCGGGGTCAACATCCAGTGGCCATGATCACACCCTCGAAAGACCACGACATTCAGGTTGCCCTTCTCAAAGTATCCATCCGGGGTTGAGTCCAAATCCTCGATCTGGCACTCCTCATGTTGCTTCAGATAGGATTCTTGGACGTCGGATGGAGCCACTCGGTCATCGCCACTCAAAAACACCACGGTAGGGACATCTTGTTCCATCAATTCTTCCAATAGCAGATTGCCCCGTACCCAACTAAAGTGCCGTTGGACGGACCAGTTTACCATCATGTCCGTTCGAATGAGGTATCCAACGTCGCCAGGGTCTGGTTGATTGTACACCACCGATCGCGTCAGAGAACTGTCGTACAGACAAAAGCAAACGGGGTCCATAAACACAAGTCCTGCGACAATGTCAGGAGCATATTTGATCACATAGCTCAACCAAAAAGTGCCAAAAGAATGACCGGCAAAGGTGGCTTGGGTATAGCCATGAGATGCCAACATGGTAGCGAGTGTGGTAGCCACCTGATCGGGGTTGAGGCATTCGCCGGGAAACACCCATGGTCGCATGGCAGAGACGGTGGATATTTCTGGCAGAAAGATGGGTCGACCCGATGACATCATCTTGAAAATAAGTGGCAGGTACACCACGGGGCCCACCCCAATGCCATGGATAAAGACCAAAGGTGTCGTCTCCTTGTCTTGTTGGGGACTACCGGGATGGTAGTAGTAGACTGCCTTCTTGTTTACGCGGCATCGTCGAAATCCAGCAAACCACAGTGCCACACGAAGCACCACCTCTAGAAGGAAAAAGACCAAGTGAATTGTCAAGGGCGCAACGCGGATACCTGGTGAAGGGAAAGATGACGCGGAAATGTGAAGTGAGTGTGAAATCACGACTTGAATCTTTCTTTCAGCACATCACAACCAAATTGAAACGCACCTAGAAGAGGATCAGCCGTGGGTCGTCCAAAGCGTCTCGATTGCTTCTCTTCTTCATCATCAGAAGGCTTCTCGGTAAAAGTTTCGTGACACTCGGTCATCTTTCTCATGATTTCAGCCAATTCGGCCTCGGGGATGGCTTTGCTGTTGGTCAGGGACTTGTCCAACAACTTCCGGTGTGCATCAAACACCAGTTTTTTGGATGGACGAGGCATGGCTCGGGCGGCCACCTCATTGTCCAGGTTCTTCATGGATTTCCTCTTCTCCTTCTGAATCAATCGTCGGGCGTGACTCACAAAGCTATCAAGTTGATCGTGCTCTTCAGTTGTCAAGTGCTCTTGGTTGCGTCCATCAAAGTAGCACCAGCACACAAAGTTTTGCAATTCGTGCTGAGAAATGTCATCAATGGTTACATCAAAGAACCAGCTCTCAAAGTACGCAGCTACATCTGAAGATTTCGCTTGCATCACACGACCCCAGAGTCGTTGGCGTTCCTCCAATGTAAGAATGTGCGCCGAACTGAGATAGGCTTCGAGAGGATCCACCGACTGCAAGTACGCAATCTTGGCCCGCATGAGAAGATAAAAACCGAGTTCGGCAACCATCACAATGTCAACCCACAGGGGCACAGCTGGCATGGCATTGACAATGTCTAGCAACCCTTGAGGGAGGAAGTCACAGAGTGACCCGCAACCCCAGTGTTCCAACACTCTGAAAGGCAGAGCGAAGAGAAGCATCCAAGGATACAGAACATCCCAGAATGACATCAATATTCCAACAGGGCTGAATCGACCCACCGCGTGGGGATCTCGTGGCAGCTGCAAACGACAAGTCCAATGACATTGAAGACAGCTAGATTAGCATTGCTTTGCACATAAGGAAGCACGAGGATCGCGGCAACATACACAAAAACGCCGCGAACACATTGTTCAACTAACCTTGCTGTGGTCCAGCTCTTGCAGATCTCGTGAATAGCGATGCATTAGTGCTTGATTATGATTGAGGAAGTTGGTTTGTGAGGATGTCAGTTTTTGTGTTGATCCAGTGATCCAGTCAACTGCGGCCCTTTTTGTCTCCACGGCTGAATGGCCAGTTTGTGGGTGACTGGTGAATCCTTGATCAACCAATGGTGACGGTAAAATGACGACCACAGTACCGGTAGTACTGTACGGAGAATTCTGGGGTGTGCGGCGATACGGTTGCTCCTTGTTTGAGGAAGCAATTGTTTTATCGGGAAGCTGGGCCTGCAAGATCCAATGCTGATCAACCCTAGGTATTGTATGACTGCAATCTTGTGTTATGGTTGACCCAGGAATGATTTAGGTAATACAGTACAGAGGATTCTCAGTTGGCGGGGTGCTGAATAGAAACCTCATACGATTTTAGCAAAAAGTTAAGTAGGTTTTAATCAGCACAAACTGCCGAATCGCTAAAACACAAACCTACCCTCACGGGTATGGTGCTGCAACATGGAGTAGAAATTACTGGGTGCGCAGTGTTTAGCCGCTGACTGGCGAGTTCCCAAGCATTCCGACATGGTACTGGTACCACAAGGTGTTCACCGGTTCCGTGTTGGTCTTGAGGTTCCGTGTTAGTCTTTATTAGGCCCCGTTTACCAAAGTTTTTTGTTTACTCGCGCAGCCGTTGGGTTCTGTGCGGGAGTCCGAAAACACCTGTCACTCGAGCTCCCACTGAGCGGAACCAGTACTACTAGTAGTACATGTATGTACGGTACCAGTACAGTGGTACCATCCAACACATTTAGGAAAGGCAGTCATTTGTCGAGCTGTTGTTGGGTACAGGTCTTGTAGGGGCATGAACCAAAGCCGCTACCGTAGTCTAGCTAGATTTTTCGGACTCGACTCGCAAATTTTACCTGGTACCACTGACGAAGGGCTCCCACACTCCGCACTCCGCGGCTTAGAGAGCAAACACGTTCGAGTGAATGTCCCGTACCGGTATCCGGCAAGAGCAAGCAAGAGCAACTACACTGTATTACATGTAATAACTGTAAAACTGAAGACTTCTAGCTAGCAAGTCTTCACAAAGATCCTGTGGGCCACAGGACATACGAGCAGCTTCGATTTTTCTGATTCAAACGCGTGCCGACTTTTCTGGTACACTTCTACCAGTGCTAGTGTAGAAATGTACGAAGAAGCTCGGCTCGCGTTTGAATCATTAGAAGCGAAGCTGCCTGTACAGTGGTGGGACCGGTACCGGTATGTAAGAAGTATTACACCTATTTTTTATTAAAATAGTGCGGTAAGAAGTACTCCACGTATGGCGGTACCAATACCGATGGGCCACCACTCTTTTTCGTGCACATCGTTCACTGTTGGCTGTTGCCACTGGCGTTCGACATGGTAATATAATATTACGCGTAACCCGTGAGGAAAGGTGTTCATTCTGTTCGCTGGTTCCGTGTCACTCCAAGAGAGTTACAGTCCGAGCCCGAGCGAGTCGAGTCGAGTCAGGAGGTACGTAAAATAAATTTCAAAATTCCAAGATACTTTGGCGCTTCCCTCCAGCAAGACCACTACGACACCCCACCTGAGCTGGACAACTGACTGGCCTACTATTTTCAATCAGACGGTATGACGGTCCTGACAATGCTCCAAAACTGCACAGATCCCGACTGCGGCCCGTCACTCAAAACTGAATCGTAGCTCCGTCGACAATTCAGTTTGGCTTGGTGGTTTGACGATTCGATTCAGTCCGCTTCAAGCTCACAAATCGAAAGCTCCGAAACAAACAAAGCCAACAACGCGTTCCTCTCTTTCGGGATATCCAATCCAGCAATTGATCAAGTTCTTCCATACGGTAGCCACCAATACGATGACCGACTTCCCTTCTTGCATCCCAAGCAACTGTCCTCACCTTCCAGAGGGACTCATGCCAGAAGGATACCACTCAATTCCTTTGTGTGAAGAAGAAAGCTTTGACCAAGCCATTGCAGCAGGTCAACTTCCTCCTCCAGGGACTTGGTCTTGGGAGTGGTTCAAATTTGCAATTCCAGACTCCAAATACCAGGACTATGTGACTGGCACAACTTCTGCCTCCGTCTTCCTTGCCCTCATCGTTGTAGCTCTCTCCTACCCCGTGTTTAATATGTTCTGGACCAAACGATCAGAGACCTTCCGCGGCCTCTCAAATGACCAGCAAGTTGTTGTCATCCAACACACAATTGAGGCCTTCTACTTGACTCTTGCTTTCCCTGTGTTGACATGGGCAATGCTCAGTGCAAACTTTCAAGTGCCCTTCTCTGCTGATTATCTTTCAATTGTGAGCAACATCATTGGTGGTTACATGGTCTGGATTGTCCATGTCTACGTCATGGAAATTGTTGGGCGCTACAGAACAATCCGCCCACTCGTTTTGGTCCATCATCTCTGTGCTGCTGGCGATGCCCTCTTGCCCCTCTATGTCATGTCAGCCATCAACATTAGGTGTGCCGCTGTTCTGACCTACTTCATTGCATGGGAGGCACCTGTCTTCATTGGACTGTTCATGTACAGGCTCTATCCCCTCAACAAATGGACTCCAAGAATCATTCGTTTCAGCATGTGGACGTTTGGTCTCTCACGTCCGGTCCAGATGGCATGGATCTTGGCACTTGTCATTGTCCACTGGGAGAACAGTGTTGCATGGCATGCCATTACCCAGGTTTGCTTTGGAGTGTTGTTCTCCTCGTTGCAGCTTTACACACTGGTAATCCACAACGCTTTACTCAAGAAGTGTCTCAAAATGCAACGGGGGAGTACCGGTACCTCTGTTGTCAAGGAACTAAGTCAAGAAGTTCCTGATGACGCAAGCAAGTCAACTAGCGGAGGATCTGCTCAACTGCCCCCCGACGAAGGAGACTACGTCGATTGCTAGCTAGCAAGCTCGTGATCGAACTGATTTCTAATATAAAAAGTTTTGTACAAACACCACCCAGGGACGAGCGAGGCGCCTTCACCCTTTCGCACCACGTTTTCTTAGCTGAGTAGATCGTTTCGTGCTCTGGCCTTTGGCTGGTCTCGACTTCGTTAGCTTTAAGTTCCACCAGAGACCGGACTCAAACCAAACAAAATGCTTGGAAGAGCCGTACTTCGATCACATTATCCCGAGGAGCGAGATGAAGCTGACGTCCTGAAAAGGATGAACCGAACGAATGACTCGAGAATGAACCTGGCGAGGCCGAAGAATTGAATGCACCGAGGAGGATTCATGAGTCGTAGAAGGACCGCTGCCGCTAGCTACCGTAGAATCTGAACCTGGTTGCCAGGTTCGTCTGCTCCAACGGGTTGCATGCATGGCAACATGGCGTTGTAGTGTGCTCCTTGAGCAAATCGAGACAAGCCGCGATAGCTTCACAGGAAAAGGTCAGCGCGTCAGGAGAATGCAAAGTACCACATTGTCCAAGTCTGGACAGGAGTCTACACAGCCCCCTCAACGTGCCCGCGCAATGCGGCAGAGAAATGGAGGACACGTCGATGAGAACATGGCCAATGCTGTGCCCTCCGAGAGGTTATCCAGCATGTTTGGATTCGAGTACCCCAACAGCAGCCTTTCAAGTGTCTCAGGTGCATTGATCGAAGACACACGTCTCGCAAAGGTCACCAACACCACGGTTGAGCTTGCTTGAAGTATACCTGTACTTCGGAGGACAAGGACTACGTCGATCGAGGAGTTTCCTGCTTGGAGGGAACCGTCGAGAAAGACTACGTACAGTACGAGCTGTAAGTGACATTTCCGAGATATTCGGCTGTAGCCGATTGTTGATAGCTCTACTAGCTAGCTGGACCAGTCGTCTGTTTTCTGTTGCTCATTTGTTGTGTGCCAGGTACTATCTGTGGACTTGCGTGCTTTTGTTGTGTGCGTGTATATAATGTATCATATGGCGCGTGGCAGTGTTGTGTTGTGATGTGTGCTTGTTGAGAATGGAGTCTCTTGGAGGGTAGATCATGGTTTCATTTATTGTATTGCTTGGACGAACTGACGGTACGGTAGGGAGGCTTCAATTTACCTGACCGTCCAGCCACGTTGTCGTTGTCCTTGCCTCTGTGCAGCCAGTCTTTTTCTCTCTTCCTTGACCTGTCGTAGCTCTTCCATCTTTTCCTGTTGCAGCTGTTGCAACTCTTGGAATTCCGCAAGGATCTCCTTGAGGACCTGTTCCTTCTGTTGCAATTCTCCCATGACACGCCCCGTTTCCTCCAACACCCGAGCTTCCTTTTGTTGCAACTCGTCCAACATTCGTATGTCCCGTTCCGCTTGCTCCCGTTCTTCCAACAGCCGTTGCCAATACTCCGTGACGGAATTCGTGTGTGGGGTTCGGTAGAAGTGTGTCCTTCGTTGATAGTCATCCTGATTGGATACCAGTTGTTGCATGTATGCTTCACCGTCGGCCGTTTGATTCAGCGTCTTGTGTGGCAAGATGCGATGCTCCTCCATCCAATGGTCCGGACTGTCAGCGGGCAGCGGTGCCGCTATGCGCAAGAAATCATATTGATCATTTTGTCGTGCATTGACTTGAGTTCTTGGCTGTGGATTGGGATCCGACTGCAACTCTGTGTTTTCTGGATTGGGAAGGTGCGCTGTCCGTGCACCTGCTGGAGTCTAAACCAGTACAGCAACATACACGTAGACAAAGGGAAAAGGAAGTGAGAAGTTGGACAAATAAATCAAGCAGATAGAAGTGAATGTCCACTCACCTCTTGGGGAATGGACGCACTGCTGCTGCTTGTGGTGGTTTCAGTTGTCGTAGTAGCCAGGAACGTTTCTAGTTGCTCCTTGAGACCATCCCATTCGGATGTCACTGCTTGCAAACGTTCCGACTCTTCGATAGTGGAGGTGGAAGTGCTCTGATGATGCGGGTATTGTCCGAATGGAGGCCCGCTATTACCAACGTTGGTGGAGGAAGTACTACGCCAGCTGTCGGTACTTACAGTGGGGATTGGCTGGTATTGAAAGGCATTGGAGGCGCCACTCATCAGAATGGCAAACCACCAGCCACAAAGGAAGCTTTGTCTCTTCAGGATTATCATTGCCGTGATCTCTCTCAAGTTGGGGCTTGGATTGGATTCGGAATTCGGATCTTTCTCGTTTTTGGTGACACCTGGAGCCGTTGACAGATGATGGAAGCAGAGCCAATGATTGGTGCTAGTTCTGTATCGTATCGTACCGTACAGTTCAGATCACTGGCAAACCGCAAGAGAGCCTCTTATCCTTTCGCTTGGATGGGTATAACAACTTACTTGAACAAAACCAATGGAGTTCCTTCTTTGGAGACGAATGGTTTCTAAAAAGTTGCTTTGTCCGTGTGTGACAATGGATTTTGGTGATGGGATATGGGATGATGCGATCTTTGATGGGGTGACATCAGTCAAAGATTCACCATTAGAGATCAGGGTACCGGTATGGGTATGGTACACCGTGGAGTGGGGGGAGATGATTTGCGGGGGCTTCAGGGGGCAAAGAATTGTTTCTTGACCCATTATTTTGCAGCCCCAAACCCCAGCCAAGTTTCTTTAGCATTATTATTGTGATTACGGTTGCGCCCAGTCGATCGAGAATCGAGAAGCCAAAGGTGGTACCACTGGTACCGAGTGCAGGTATGCATGGAGACGCAAGAGAGAGCGAGAGAGAGAGAGAGAGAGCTAACGGAAGTGTCGGCAGCACCATCAGAATGCACAAGAACTAATTGTGCCCTGTGTTCAGCCACCTTCTTCGAAAGCGTGGCTGGCCAACTCAAAAGCATTCGAGAAAGCGACCGGTATGAATGATCTGTCATCAGGGGACACAGATAGTTGGTTGCGAGCGATAGTTTGCAGTGAACCATTTGAGACGGCACTTCTGAGCCTCACAAGCAGACGGAATTGGAACGTTTTGCCGTTTTTATCGATCTTTTGCGTCCTGTTCCGGAACCGGATGGAAGGACGGGTGCAGATACCGGTACCGAGCTGTCCTTGCAAGAGAAGAGATTCATTGCGAGCACGGAGGACATCGTTCTCGAAGCGGCTTATCTGGAAAAATGTGAGTTTATCCGTTACAATGTACTGTATGTATGTGTTCACTAGCTAGTATGGATCATGACGTTAAAATTCACCCCTCCCCTTCTCGGCCGTGGATTCTTTTACACTATGCAGCGAGGGGAGCCGTGATGCCCTCCCTTCTCGGCCGTGGATTCTTTTACACTATGCAGCGAGGGGAGCCGTGATGTTGGGAGACATGGACGCCTTGTTGTGAGCTTGAGAAAGTGGCAGTTTCTGGTCAGCAGCGGAGGAGGAAGATGATGTTGAAGCTGTTTTTTGCTGCGACCGTTCCGAGCGATCCGACATGACGGCCGTGGTAGCAATGGAATCCGAGTCGTTGGGCTGTTGCTTTTCCAGTTTCTTGCCGTACTTTTCCACAAAGCGCCCCACCACTTCCTGTCCCCTCTTCTCCCATTCCTCTCGGTTCATCAGGGCATAATTCAAGTACTCGTCACTCGAAACGCCAAAGACTCCGCAATTCTTGAGCTTTTTGGCCAAAGGAATGATGTAATTATCTGAATGTTGTGCAGCAAGAGAAAGTCCAGTGAGTCTCGACAGTTCTTGTGGTGGGTTGGATCCAGTGCTGACTGGCTGGCTGACTTACCAAAGAACCAAATCTCGCCCTTGTACCAGCCCTTGGACGGGTCTTCCCCGGTATTGCGGCCTTGCAAAAAGGCAGTGTACTGTTCTTCAAAAAAGTGCTCGTTCCATTTGATGTACACTTGCCAATGTTGCATCTGAACGAATAAAGAGAAAGAAGAAGAAGTCCAGTGAGTCCCAACCGTTTCTTGGCAAGCTGCTGCTGCCTATGCTGTTTGGTTACGCACCGTGTGAGACACGTCGGAGGCCTGAATCAAATGCTCAATCTGCGAGAAAAAGAGGATGCTCGTGTGAGGTGTGGTGTATTTTGGCAATCGTTTACACTGGTCCCAACACGGACTTACGACAATGGTAGCCTTGCGGTGAGTATCTTCTTGAGTGGCATCATGGTCGGAAATCTCAAATGCTTTGTCCCAACGATTCTTGCGGAGTGCTGCGAGTTCCTTATCGAAAATGTCGGTCGCTGTAATACACAGGATGAATGACAAGGGAAGGTCAGCGATACAGAATCTGGATTCACCACGACACCAGCAGCATGTTGAACGTACCCAGAACGCAATTCACAACCAACTGCAAAGATACAATTCAAGCGACGCCAGATTCGGTAAGGCAAGGCATCGTATCGAGCAATTAGCAAGAAAGATAGTGCATGTCAGTCCGCGTACCTGACGGAATCTTCGCAGTTCCGTGGCATCCGTGTATATGCAATCGCGCAGGTCTTGGAAGTTGGGATCCATCAGCGCCTGCCAAGCTAGGTCGATGGAATTCTACGAATGATGCCGTGTGGGAGAGAATACAAGTCAGGAACAAATACAAGAGATAATTCGCTGGTGATCACTGTTTACCCTTCCTTACCTGTTCGGCGACGCTTTTCTTGTGGAAGATCGTGGCCAAGATCTTATTCTCTAGACAGAGGTCTTTATTGGAGACTCCACGGTGGTCCACCTGGACGTTTGAAGTCAACAGCATGGTCAGACGGCTGTGGATGGGTACAAGGGGGGCGAAACAACATCGTTCTCCCTTCCTTTGACTTACATCGTGGATCACTGCCGAGAACAGGACGGCGAATTGAGTGAGCGGGTCGCTGGGAGAGGGAGGAAAGGGCGCGATATGTGAGCGATATGCTGTCATCAGGGGCTGCAGCAATGGGAGTGTCAAAGTTTCCTTTGCTTACCTGGTGATTCCGTACGTGAAGTCGTGCAAATCCTCGTCCACGGTACCCTTCTCGGGGTCGGCATTGGAAAGGACGTTGTCGGGTGCCACGATTCGAGAAAGAAGCTTCAATATTGACATGGTCTGGAGCAGAAAAGCAGCAATGAGAAAAGCCAAGAAGACAATGATCGTGGTGGCGAGATATTGAATAGCTTACCACGTGCGATGCATGATGGAAGTTGTGGACTGCCATTTTTGTTTACGAGAGGGATAGTGTGAGACTGCGTCAGATTCGGCCCTTGTCATCAAAGAGAAGAGGCAAACATCGAAGGCTTACAGGGATTGGATTGATAAAGGGAGGCGACAACTTGCACATACTCGCGGAGCTGTGTTTCGACTTTCTGACCCAAGTTGATTGTCTTCGGGTCGACTTGGTTGGCGTAGGCTTCAGGATCGAAGCGAGGCATGGTGATGACCTCGCGAACCTCGTCCAACATCACCTTGTTCATTCCCATCTCTTGTTCCAGTTCCTTGACAGATTCGCGTGCTGCCCCACGATGCGCTGGTTTCTTGGCGCTTGCATTTCTTCGAGCTACAATGTGACGAAGAGATTGCAGCAGCGATTCTGACACCCAAAAGATGAGACGGTCAAGCTTTGCCTCAGTTTGCTCCTGACGAGAGAAAGGCATGCTCTCTCCAAAGGACCCACGCCTCTCGGTTCCCCCGTCACCTGTCACGACGCTGCTGCTAACGTGCGAGTTCGAGTTGGTGGAGCCAGTGACCACACTTGATCGAGCGGCAGACTTTGGTAGCAACCAAAATGTTTCAAGCGCTCCCTTGCCCTTGCATGTAACAAGGTCCGTCCTTGGCTTCACCCAAGTGGCCTTGCCACTTTGTCGGACCAACTCCGCAGTTTCCTTGGAGATTTGAATACGGTTGCGTGCCCCTGTAGTTTCCAAGCGACTACCGGTGTTGACGGTATCTCCAAACAGCTTTGGTGGTGTGAGATGATTCCGCACCATTCTGCTGTCACAGACGACGCAAACACTGCAACAACTTACTTGGAATCGCCCACGTTCTCCTCGCAAAACGCCAGCTGTAACTGGCCCCCTTTGGTTTGAGGAGGAGCATCACTGTGTGTGAGATGGCCTAGCTGCCAGCTTACAATGACAACGGCATCGCCCAGAGCAACTTACGAGTGGACACCGACTCGAAGCCCCAAATCACCAGTATCGGGGCCGAGCGTAACCTGGTTTCGAATAGTAGCAAAAGGAGGGTGTGATTAAGCAGCATGACGAGGACTGGGGAGAGCTGCGAGAACTCATGCGTACCTCCAACATGCGAGTCACTTCGTGGAACTTTTCCAAGCAATCTCTCGCAAAGCGGGCCATTATGATCGCGTGATCTCTTCTAGGGTCAGGAAGACCTGATGGGTCAAGAGCGAGGTGCAGCAGTTAGCACTTGCAGGCGGTGCCACCGAGACATGAATACCGGTCTTGGTTGTTCCGATTCGTACTTACCAGTAACGGCAAGGTAGCAATCGCCTGACGAGATGGCCAACAAAAACAACGGAATGAGTTTACTTGTTGATGAAGCTCAATGAAGCATTGACCCGAAGAGAGTAACAGTCGTACCGATGGTCTCAACTAAGCGAAGGTCAATCAGGTCCGAAGAACGGTGAGAAGGTTAGTAATCAAACCAAACCGAGTTGCACCCAGAGAACGGAACGATTGTCACCTGCCTTTGAATACTCTCCGGCGCCGCGCGATCTCGTCGAAGCTTCGGAAGACGGTCTAGAGGGATCGATCAAACGGTATACGTCAGTTCAACAACGCAATGGAAGCACCGTTGAAATTCCGTCACACGACAATGGCTCACCTCCAATAAGTTAAAGACTGCTGACGGGTCTCGTTGAGAACTCCACGCCGTGAACCCGCAGATGTCTGAGGTCAGGAAACGCGTGAGGACGACGGCATACATAAAAGTGCAATGTATGGAAACAGCCAAGGGTCTTCCGCCAGCTTACCTGCAAACAGGACAGTGCCTACGTTGATGAGGTATCGGGAGTGAGTGAGGAGTTGCAAGAGTTAGTTGCGGAGCGAGGCATTCAATCAAAGTTATAGGTGGGAAGGATTCACGTACAGTTCGGGAAAAGATCTGCAATCTGCTTTTGAAGGAAAGAATCGTCATCAAATCCAAGGACGCCAATGCCCGACTGTTTATCTGTTGTCTTGAGCAGAGAATCGATGCTCTTCTGCGCACCCGAGTTGATCATGCCGAGGCCTTCCTCTTTGACTTCTCCGTCTTGGCCAAAGAGCTTGTCACGAATCTGTTCTGGGAAGAGTGATGCAATAATTGCATTGCTTCGCTGGGTTTTCACTTGGAGCTCGAGTTGGCGCTGATCGACTGCCTTGTTGTGAGTGGTAAACGCCATTATGAGAACGACGGCCAAAAAGAGGATGAGGATCAGATATCCGACGGGAGTATCAGAATCAAAGGATGAATTCATTTGAGATGTTGGGTAAATGGACAAGTCCACGATGCAGCTATCGACCACTTCGTCGCCCCCCTCCGACACATTCAAATGGAGCGCATATGATGCCAGGACGGAGTGAGCCTTCATGTCTTCGTACTTGGTATCATGCAGGGATCCTGTGCCCTTGAAGAGAGTGTGAGATCCATTGATCCAATAAGTGTAGCTGCGACCGGTACATGAATCGGCCACAACGCAGTTGAGTTCGACCTTGTCGTCGCTGTTGCCCCCATTGATGATGCCGCTCAAGATTGAGCGCCAGGATTGAGTGCCTGTCAGGTATCCGACAATATTGGAGTCTTCGTGGAACCCTTCAAAGATGGGTTGAACCATCAAGCGCTGGGGGTTTCCCTTGGCGCCAATCTGGTAACGTCGCTTTGGGTACATTGGTATTCCAAGGAGCTCTTGGGGTTCTTCGAGCTCCGATACGACAGAGGTTCGTGTCAGGTAGGTGGCATCGGCCAGTCGCACAAAGGCTCTGTGACTCAAGAGGTTGAGATTGACAACCGAGATGTTGTAACCGGTGGGGACCGGAGCAACCTGCCACACTGGGGAGAATGGTCCCATACTGAATTGCAGTTCATCCACAGGCGTGTCTTTCACGTAACGGAAGATGGATTCAGAAATGTTTGGTCGAGGTGGAACAGGAAGATGAGGATCTTCAGGAACGGATTCTCCCGTCACAAGTGCTTGGTTCTGCACGGAATATTCCTCCCAGTTGAGTCGGTTCTCTTGCGATACAAGAGGGGCGTAGTTCAAGAGTGTGGCTGGATCATCTTCCAAGAGATCTTGAGCAAAGACACCCAAGTTCTTCATGGTGTAGAACGGCCATTCTGCTTCAGCGTTGGCGGCACCATCGGTGATGGTCAGACTCAAACGATGAAGAGAGTTGGCAAAACTGTCCGACCTCTCGTGGACTACCTGGAAGATCTCATCACTAGCATCATGGAACTGTTGGGAAAGAAACATCAAAAGTGTCAGTGCAATTATTGGATATGGTATCATTGGCATGGCATTTCACTATATACCGGGGCATCATGCCTTCCTTACCTTGTTGTGGAACTTGTCGTCGTCCTGCTTCGATGCGACGACAAACAAGACTGTTCCCAGGATGATCGCACTCAGTAGAACGAGCCCAAGAACCATCGAAGACGAACGAGACGCATTCATGTTGTCATCAAACCAATTGACACCCGTTGTTTCTCCCGTGGACATGGAGCGCTTGGAGGATGATACCCCCGTTTCGCTGGTGCTGTCCTCTACGAACTGTTTACTGATGCTAGTACTGCTGCTGCTACCGGAACTGATAGAATCATCATCATCTTCGCGAGGGCGAGCAGCAGAGGGACGAGGTGGTTGTTGCTGCTCAGGATCAGCAATCCTCACGGTGTTTTGGTTGGTGGGACGGTGCATCGTGGCTATGATATTTTGCATCGTTTTATGGAACAAGTGAACCTTGTCTTTGATGAGCGTGCGTGTAGTTTGGAGTGTTTCGAGGAAGTGATACTGGTATGTAACAAGGTCGCAAGGAAAGGTAACAAACAATTTATGAAAGACATCCAAGCCCCGAAAAAGTCTCTTGGTTAGCTCTTGCTATCATAGCTTGAAGCTGAGGGTTCACGATGTGGCGATGTGGACATTAATTTTCTGGCCTTCGTGTTGGCCGGTTCACAATTATTTACTAGTATTAAAATTTATTTGTCCTTCCGTACTGGGCAGTTTGTCAAAGGTCATTGTTAGGAGTGAATTCTCGTTTTTCAATGTTCGCTTTGGTCATTAACAATGAACAATTTGCAGAGCTCATTCCTTGACGTCAGGCCCTAAACATCAGAATAGATATTAGATGACTTCAATACGTCAAAAGAATCCGAAAGAGAATAGGGGAGCATTCGTCGAATTCAAGATGGCAGCGTGCCAGTTTAGCTGACGGTTTCCAGTAACAGTTGCTTAAAAGAGCCTTTCACAGTTGCTATGCTTATGAAGCTCTTATGATGAACGACGAGCTGTTCCATCGCATGCTGGGTCCAGGGTCCTGGATAGCTATGACCACTCTATCTGACCACCGCCTACCACGATGCCTTCAATCTCACCAGGCAAGGATGGGTCCGATATCCGAAAATGAAGTTGAAAAGGTAGCATGGTTCGCTTTCCTCCAATTGGGTGGGATGGTCATAACCCAGACTGGCACCATCCATATCGTGATGTTTGAAAGTGTTTAGCCCCTTTGCCTCCATGTTGCCTTGTCCAAAGCAGATGGTACCAAATGCAAAAGATCCAAGAATTAACTGAATATTGAACTAGACCGGTGAGCCAAGGACATGGTGATTGGAGTGCATGCTGTTTCGCTCCATCCTGATGCCTGCTGGCTACTTTCCAGAACTGCTGGCCACTGTCCAGGTGCCAGGTGCAGGCCAATGCATGTATGCTGACGCAGCTTTGTTTTGGTTTCCAGTGATGTGTGCTTTCCCTCTTGAATCTTGAACAAAGTATCCAAGTATCCAGTGTAGTGGCCAACTCATTGAAGAGGCTCTTCTTGTCACCAAGCTCCATGCTGAATGAATCTTCTAGTCCAATCTGACTTCTGAGTTCCAGAGTTCCAGCCAACGAAACTCCGAGGACGCAGAATGTACTGGTAAAGTTCGTACTTGCACCCACATTTTACAAGGGGCAAGGAGTAGGAGCTATTGTACACCTTTTCCATACTAGCTTGTGCAATTTCATGGGTGAATCCGCAACTCCAATCTAGTGTTCCTTGAAATGTACAATTTCTGACAGTGTTCGTTCTCCTCTTATGTTGAGAGTTGCTTTTGGGGTTCGCTGATCTAGGCACAGCTCTGGAAAAGAAGGCAGGTTGGCAGGTTGGCAGGTCGTCAGTGGCCCAGCTCTGATGTGAAGAAAGAAAATCGACGCCTCCCCCTACAACTGTAGCTAGTTGGCTAGGAGTATCTCGGAATCCTGGCCACTAGCCATGGCCACGCACGAATGGGAAAGACAAAGTATGGGTGAGGCCGACTCGCAAAACAAGTTTCATGACTCATGAGGAAAGTAGTCACGAGTACAACTTACCACTGTCGGATAACATGGGATGACTTGGTGCGAGAATGGAAGCAACTCCCGAAAAAAACATCCAAGAAGCAAAACAAATGTAGCCGTTCATGTGTGGTAACACCCACAGCAATTAAGTACAGTAAGAGCAACATTAAAAAATCGCAGAAAAAATATCGACCATGACGGCCCAGAGTGCCATGGTGGAGGTTTCGCAGAAGGAAATTAGGAGATAACCAGCGATGCTTTTAAGATCTGTTCAGCGAGCAGTCGGAAGTGGCGATCGCTGAAGTAGAATATTGTCGATGATGCGCACTAGAAATCTTGACTTTGGCACGTCATTTTTCGAATCAAACCAAAATTTACCACTCCGCTAGTTAGTTGTCCCATGCATACTCGCAACAGCCAACAAAGCACCTCACAATGGCGCCTCCGTTCAATACTCAAAGCACTTTGGAAATTTCCGGTTGGCTTGTGCATCCAATGGCCAAGAATGAGGTATTGGATGGCCAAGCATCTGGGATGGCCATTGTTGATGCATATCGCCAAGGATGGCAGGACAAGGGCATGGAAACTACTACAATGGTGGACAACACCGTGCGTATCACCCAACTCCGTACTACTACCCGTACCCGTATCAGCCGCCGCCATACATGCCCCAGGGATACCCGTACGGTCCCTACCCTGTCAACCCACCAGTGACCAGACAATTCAATGCAGGTGTACAAGGACGTCAAGATCCCCCAAGACGCCAGGACGATTTTCGACATGACAAGACTTGCCGTCCATGTACCAGCAAGAACGAAGGCAAGGCTTTGATTGAAGAACGGTACGGTGGGATTGTCACTATTGCAGGTAAAAGAATGCAATGCGTAAAACCTGATGGCGCCCACACTCCTAAGTCTTCTGTAGATCCTTATCGCAAGACTTGGAAGTACGCTTGTGCATGCAGACCACAGTGCAAATGGAGAATGCAAATTCGACAGTTTGGAAGGAGCAATCCAGAGATACCCGAAGGAACAGCTGTCAACAGCGACATTGTGTTTCTTGTGTTCGTCAAGAAGGACGTGATGGGACACAGTCACGGCATGGATCCCCCATTATTGCAGTCAAGGGAGCAACACGGACTGCCATCGGTAGTGCAACACATTGTGGATGACTATATTGCGAACCAAATGAAGCAAGGCACGTGGATTGGCCGAATAACAGCAGGCAAGATCATGCCGTACTTATTGGATAAGTTGCGAAAAGACCCATGCAACCAACCCTACAGGCATTTAGCTGCAGGGAAAGACAATGTGGACAACCTGACTGGCAAGATGCGAAACTATCTAAGTCGCAAGAAGGATCTATACATTGCAGAGCATTTCCCAGGAGAAGCCAATATCCCTAACATGGATAGTTTGTTTCGATGTTTGGCAAAATGGAACCTTGATCTTCCTTCGAACTACCAACCAAGAAGCGACTATTCTACGGTAGACGAGTTGGTACAAGCAATCGGAGCCACAGATATTGATGACATGTTGCTCTATGACCTTGGTAGTGGTCCCTTGTACAAACGGTACTTGGACAACGTTGTGGAACGGAAAGATGCTACCCAATTCGAACAGAAGATGGAACACGCCTTCTTTTTCTACTCACCAACTGCGTTGTTTCAGCTCATGCATCTTGCCAAGAGGCGAAAAGGAACAAGGCAGATTTGTTCTGATGGTACAGGAGGAATGCTGAAAGACGGCAGCGTTCTCATAGTCATAGGTGCTCTTTCAGTCAAGTTTCGAGTTCTGGAGAATGATGTCACGGCTTCTCTACGAGCTATTGCATACCTCAGAGCTGGTGGGGAACGATATCACCCGTACCTGATGGCACTGTATGCTTTACGGGATATTTCCATTAGAGTCTTTGGTGTGCCCTTTGAGCTGGACTGGGGTACTTCCGACTCAGCCAATGCCTTTGTTTCAGCTGATGTATTCTTCAAGGAACACCCTGAACTGTGTGATGAAGAAGACAAATGGCACAGTGTTCTACAAGACGATGCTTCAGTAGGATCTGATGGTACCATCGATCCTTACGAGTCCGTACTGAACTGCGCTTTCCATGCCCTCCAACCATTTGCCAAGAGGGACAGTTACGTGGGGCGATTCAAGGACAAGAAGTTCGCGGCAGCACAAGACAAAGTGGACGACATACACAAGTCTGCCTATGCTCAAGTCAAGTACATCATGGACTCAAAGACAAAGGAACAGCACCTTGCAATCAAGGAACTGGTCTTAGGCCACTGGTCCGATGAGCGAGGAGAGTCTTCGGCTGCTGCTTTATTTGACAAGTCTTACGGGCAATCTCCCTTCTGGAACATCAACTACAATTGCACTGGTGAAGCTGGAGTTTACCCCACCAATTGTCCTAGTGAGACGTTCAATCGGCATGCTGTTAAACACAGAGAAGCTGACAGAGCCAAGAACGTTTGCCTTTCCACCTTCCTGGTTCACTCTGCACCAAGCCTTTTGCATGATGGTGCGCTGTTGCGATGTGACCCATGCACTATTGAAATCCCACGTAATTGCTCCTCCACTACTGTGTCGGTCACGAGCTTTATGCAAGAGGGCATTGATATTGTTCCTCGTGGTGTCGATGGGTGGCTTTGTAATCTGCGGCATCGAATCGGTGTACCCATTACAGTGGACACGATACTCAAGATGAACCGGTCACTTTCAGGTGACACCACTTCCTTCACCGGTCCCCTGCTTAGTGGTAAGCCCTGTTGCAAGTCCACGGTGGCTATGAGAATGATCACCGCGACAAGATATCTTTGCCATGTCACGAGAATGCCTAATGGTAACTTCATAGGAGATTGCGAGAATTGTATAAAAAAACTTGGCTATTCCTGTCCAGGAGCTGCCTTTCTTCGAAGCAAACACAATCAGTTCGACTCGCCCTTGGAAACCAAAAGGAAAACTCCATGCAACCGCAGTGGCAAACCTTCCCTTGCTCCAAACAGAGGTAACACACACGCCATGTATGAAGGTGGGCTACCAAAGAAGAAGAAAGCAAGATCCCTCTCCAAGATGAGCGTCTCCTTGAATGACTTCATTCTTTCACTCAACCACTCGCAACTGTGCAAGACTGTCGACTACTTGGGACTTCGCAAGTTTGGATCTGTAGTTCCAACAAAGCGTATGTCGGTCCCACAATTGCAAGAGATACTTCTTCCCGTTTGCTTCAGAGAAGAATGGAAGAAGGACTACACGTTGCGCAACGATCACTTTCAGAACCGAATGTCTTAGTTCAGAACTACTAGTTATAATGGTAAATCTATAGCATCATCTAGACCTATAAAGGAGCCTTTACCATCCCACGCAATTGCAACAAAAGAAGTGCAATAACCGGTGGTGCGTCCCATAGTCATCGTGCACCAGCCACTTTGGAACGATCTTCCGTGTTGGCTGCCGATGGACTTCTGCACCACGGAAGTGACGAACTTTCTTTCTTGCTGTTCATTGATTTTCCGAAATTGCTTTAAGACACGAAGAACTCTCTTGAGAGCCGGGTGTTGCTTGCACGAATGTTTTGGTTTCTTTGGTTTTTTCTCCCGCATTGGAGGATGCTCGGAATGGTGTTGGTTGGTGGTTGGAGTTGTTCTTCGCGAAGACGTATTGGTTGATTGTTATGTTCGCCGCTGTGCCATAAAATGCAATCGAATCGTAGCCATGCCTCCCTACTACATTGGCAATCTTGCCATCTCCAGAATTAAAGATGATGGGAATGTTGAGACCATCAGATACCCTTGCAAATATGGATATCCTTTTGGTCAGCCCAGCGACTACACGACGACCGAGTTGGGGCAGCAGCTCTTGGAACAATTCTTTGAATACAACATGCACGTCATGAAGGATCTCAAGATTCGCGACGGCATCGACCTCATTGCAATGGCTCAGAAGAAGGAGGCCTTGGTGGAACATGCTCGTAAAAGAAACAAGCTCGGGCCTCTGCGTGTGTACTTGACAAGCTGGAACCTCCTCGCTCCCTGGCTCACCAGGTACCCTGACAATTATCCCCTTCCACCTGTAAATTGTCAGTGGTTTAAAGAAGATCTTGGAAAGCTCATTCTGTTGAAGCTGATGATTGTCAATCCAATTGCGAACCCTGACATGGCCCATACCATCTGCATCCGAACTAACACCCAGTACGACGAAATGTGTCTTCGGTACAAGTATTGGATGGATTTTGACCTCGAGACACTTCCAGATGAGACAGTCTACCTTGTCAAGTTCGGTCATTTGGAAACGGAGATTGTTGCCAATGTTCTTTGCCGGAATGCGTCGCACGAAGACGAGGAGATCGCCAAATTGGCCGGAGAAGCTCTTGAAGCGATCGAGAGTCATTTCGAAGATGTCGACGTTCCTGCAGAGGTGGAAACCAACAAGCCGCCTGTGATTATTGAGCTCTTTCCCACAGCTAGCGAGGATGACTCCGATTCCACCCCTGACTTGGCACCATTTGCATACACTGGAGGTACCTCTCGGGGCTCTCCATCTCCTTCTTTCCAGCATTGCTCTCAGTTGTCGCAACCAAGCATTTTGCCTGTTCAGAAGAAATCGCCCAACCCATCCCCAACTAAGCGTCACCGCGAAGACACTCCCAGCACCACTTGTTTGAGTCGAGCTTTTCCAGAGAGTGATTCGGCCTTTGCTTCTGGTGGTTATGAGCAGAATCACTCCGCCAGCGATGCCAGTGACGCCTGCAATGAAGCCGATGCGCCCGTACGTGACATCCAGAAGATTATGGAAGAGGGCTTTGCCGAAATGAGACGCCGCGAGGAGGAGGGCAGTGAATTCGATGACAGTGCAACCCATCTCAACTCTTATTTGTACAGTGGAGGCAAGGACTAGGATGTGCGCAATTGATATGACTGGAGCGATATAACAGGATAACATGACAATGGAGTGACAGCACGGATTTGCATGGTTTCTTGGAACACTTTTTCACTCATTTGGTTGGGATTGCAGCAATTCTCGACCATGGTCGATTTGAATGGCAGCTAGCCGTTGGTGTATGCGATACCACGGAAATCTCAAACATGGATTCGAGCCATATTAAACGTAGGAAGCCGCGCCCCCGCGGGGCGCGCCAATATTAACCTTAATAGCTGTATACAAAAAAATCGGTAGCCAGTCGTGGGTAGCCAGGATATATTGATTTCCGTTGGCTAGCATTGTATTTGAGTATTTATTTGCCGGTACTGTACGCCAAATAGCCAACAGCATTCGCTTCTCGTTTGCAGCCAAGGCGAAGAAGCAACCTTTTCGTTCTCTCCCCCTCCTCCCTTCCCGTCTGAGTCTTTGGTCTTTGAGGTGGGAGCAAAAGGTGTTTCATACAACAGGTACCAGGTAGCTCATAATATCGATCGTCCCATAATCATCGGAAAATCAAACCCTTCAACAGAATAATCCAACCAAGCAGACAAGATGGCAACAACAGTCTTCGAAGCCTGCCTGAATATCGTCGACATTGAAGACACTGTAGCGCTTCTGCAATGCGTCGCTGATCGTATCGAAGATGCCCAATTGGCCACGTCCCATAACATCAACAGCCAGTTGCTCATCCTCAGGTGAGGCGGGGCAGGAACTGCTTGGCAAAAACACACGTCCCTCTGCCCCTATGTCTCTGATTTCTAACCTTAGCCTTCCTAATATCTATTGCTTCTGCATTGCAGTGGTGCTCTGGTCTTCTTTATGCAAGCTGGTTTTGGCTATGCTCTGTGCTGGAAGTGTACGAAAGAAGAATACTCAAAACACCATGCTCAAGAATCTCCTTGATGCCTGTGGAGCGGCCATTGCCTACTTTTGTGTCGGGTATGCCTTTGCTTTCGGTGGAGACAAATCCAGCCGGAGCGGGCACGATGATACCACTGCTGGAACTACCTTTATCGGTCTGGACAACTTCTTTGGATTAGGCCTTACCGATCTGTCATTCTTCTTCTTTCAGTATACCTTCACTGCAGCTTCAGTAACGATTGTGGCAGGAACTCTTGCTGAGCGATGGTAAGGAATACGGCCTCGCATCGCATGACACCCTGTATGCTGCCATTCTCACGTAAGATCTTGCCATTCCCAGTCAAATGACTGCCTACCTCTTCTATAGCTTCTTCTTGACAGGATTCGTTTATCCTGTTGCTGCTCACGCCTTTTGGTCGACGTCTGGCTTCCTCAGCAGCTCCAACGCCGACCCTTTCATGGGTATTGGGACCGTGGATTTCAGTGGAAGTGGTGTGATCCACATGACAGGTAAGGAAGCACTACCTGCTTTCGCTTCGGCTAGGCTAGAGCACCTTTGCCCCACTGCTGACAAAGTTGTGTGTCTGCCACAGGAGGAACAACTGCACTCATTGCGACTTACATTCTGGGGTCACGCCGCGGTCGCTTTTTCGATATGACTACTGGTGCCCCGTTGGAGACGCCAAAAGCATTCCCAGGTACGATAGCAACGGCAACATTGCCCGCTCTGCTTCCTTGGACGAAACTCTCACGATGTCGCCCTTACCTGATGTACCTCCAGGACACAGCGTTTCGCTACAAATGCTGGGCAGCTTCATCCTTTGGTTCGGATGTAAGTCTATGTCTTGCTGGCTCCTCTTGATACTTACTGAAAGACGTCCTCACAGCATCCATGATTGATTCACTATGCTAACCGTTCTAGGGTTTGGATTCAACCCTGGATCTGCTTTACTGCTCGAGGGAAATCCTTATCAAGCTCAAATTGGTGCCTTGTGCGCTGTGAATACATTCTTGGCGTCAGCTGGTGGAGGAGTCACGGCTCTCTTTGTCAAAATGTTCTGGAAGCAACGGTCCTCTGGGGAATATTCCTTTGATCTAGTGGCGGCAATGAATGGAACTCTTTCAGGCCTGGTAGGGGTAAGTCATATGGTCCGCCCAACCTCCAGTTCTACATCACCACCCTCGTGGCCCATCGCATCTCATTCGCGTGATGTTCCCTCCATTCGTAGATCACCGCTGGATGTGCCACTCTCGAACCTTGGGCTGCTTTGCTCAGTGGAGCCGTGGCTGGCGGGCTCTACTTGTGGGGATCTGATTTCTTGATAAAGCTCAAGTTAGACGATGCCGTTGATGCCATTCCAGTACACATGATCTCGGGCTTCTGGGGACTTATAGCGGTCGGACTGCTTTCCAAGCCTGAGCACATGCTGCATGCATATGGAGATGACAGCCACCCAGGCTTGTTTTATGCCATTGGACGAAGCGGTGCAGATGCCAAGCTCATTGTCTGTCAACTGGTGGGGGCCCTATTCATAGTTGGGTGGACCTTTGTCACGATGTTTCCGTGAGTTTTTCCCCTTCCAATCTGGTCTCATGTTTTCAGCCTTTGCTGATTTTGTCATGGGCAACGTCTCACCTTACTGCTCATTTCATAGTTTCTTCTTGTGGCTCAACTACATGGGATGGTTTAGATGTGAGTCTGTCCAAGAACTTGTTGGACTCGACATAACCTATGACGGCGAACGAGCCAATGCCGTCAAACAAGCAGAAGGTTCTGAGGAGGGCGTACGGGAAGAGTATCTGAATGCGTACGCACGATACCGTCAACAAAGACAACCTCAGTCCAGCAGCAAGAATAGGAGCTCCGTCAACCATAGCCACAGCAGAGATCCTTCCAACGAAGGTGAGGAGGAGGATGGACCTTAACAATGCCTTCATTCGGAGCAAGGATGCTCTTCCCTGTTCACTTCACGACATGTAAACTAGAACTTGATCGATACACTTTCCACCTCCACGCCTTGTCCCAAAACCACCAGGGCAGCTTTTTTTCAACCCTAGCTACGTGTCAGGTTGTTGGCTTATCTTGTTCACACTGACTGGGCCATGTTCAAGTAGACACTGAGCATCCAGCTCTTTGTCAACCCTAGCTACGCACATGTAGCATTTGACCACACGTGTCGGGTTGTTGGCTGATCTTGTTCGCGCTGGCTGGGCCATGTTCAAGTAGACACTGACCATCGATGCTTGGTGTTTGGGTGCTTGTGCACTCAAGACTTGCTGTGAGCTCAAGCTTCTTTCCTGGCTGTAGCTTCAACATTTCAGAAAAAAAGAAAATGCACAGCCATAGACAGTGCTGGGCTCGTACACCCTGTCTGCGTTGTCGAAATACTCCTCTCGCTGATTCTTGGACTGGAACCACCCAATACGGAAAATTTATGATAAATATCTGCCTGTAGGTGTGGCTGTCAAGGTGCTTGCGCTGTCACCACCCACGAAGTGAGCGATGTAGCCTCTACACAACTAGTTCTTAAATAGAATTCTATTTTAAGGCTACTCTGAGTACGACTATCCACCGTGCCGCTACCCTAAACCGATAACCCCCACAAACATTGGGGCGGAGAGAGTTGGCCCCCTCAGCCGGGAAAGTTTATAAAACCCAACCGAGGCAAGAATATTAAGGGGAAGGTCACCAACCGGACCGCCCGTGCTGCTGCTGTCATCAGCACTGCTACTAGCTGCACTATTGCTGATAGTGTCAACACTGCTGTCATCTAAATCAAGGATCAGACCCGAAAGCCTGATCCAAAGTTTCTGCTGCCTCGTGGAAGGCTGCTGCCAGTTTTTTGCTGCTCTCTGCTTGCTTTGTCCACCACTTGCATCCAATTTGAAAGCCTGGCTTTGATATCGGATGGTTCCATTTCCATTTGGTCCTATAGTGGCCTTTTGAAAATGGAGTTGACAATAGACAGTGGCACCTGGTCTGACTGCTCATACAGAAGCTCTACTTCCCGTTGAAGCTTTTGCTGCTTCTTGATCCACTGCTTCTGTTTATCACGTCCATGTCTGGCTGCATTGCGGTCATCCAACAGTAGAAACCATTGTTGGAGTAAGGGATGAGCCAAGTTGGTAGTACATATGGTACCGGTTTTCTTGGATGTATGCTTTTGAACATGTGGAGATAGTCTCCCTGGTGCTTGGTCCACAATTTGGAGAGTCGCCCTTGAGGAAGTTGTTCCAACCAATGTGGTTCTGGTCGGTGACCAGTTGATCATACCTTCTGGAATCCAGTGGGTTAAGTGCTTGCCTGCGAAGAGATCGAGCCCTTTGCAAAAGCATAACAGGGGCTCTACCATATCGGTATTCACATGCAAAGTCATCTATCAGTTTGCGCCAGTTGTTTGCTGACCACGCCTATGCCTGGC